GAAGGCTACATCGTCCGAATTCATTACATTTGCCACTCAGACACACCAGATGGAGCGTTTACTCCAGAAAGAACAGATAAGAGGGACGTGAAGTCTGAATTTAGGGAGAAAAGAGGACACAGAGTAACCCCGGTACATCCAAAATGGTTCCGGTGATTTAAGGAGAAAGATCTCTGCCGTCCGGTATGTGACCTCGTAAGTTACAACAAAACGAGTTCATAATACCGAGAATTCCTCCGGTACCCCTTTGAGAGATGCGCAGTGTCATAAACAACTGCGATCAATTGAAGACGAAACCTCACGCTGAGGTTGATGTTGCATACATCATACTTCTTCACCGCAGCTGAACCACACAGACTTAGAATTAAACTCGAACTTCGTAATCTGGATAAAAAGTATTCGTTTATTTGATGGGATCAATTCCGGTATTCGGGTGCATATTCTGTGTCTAGTTTACGTGTTGAGTTCCTTTCAAATTTTGCCTTGATTATTTGATATCCAGGTATGTTACGCTTGATGTGAGTGTTGACAAGGTGCGTAGCTTTGTAACACTCTCCACCTCGAGTACTAGTTCCAGGAGACGTTACTGGGGGAACGGAGTGCACCGTCATCGTGGCTATGCTAACGTCAAAGAGTAATGCCATCCAGAGTGTCACAGCCTACGGCTCAGTCACCGCATTATGTACGTCTGGTACACATGATTCTCCACAGAGATAGACAGGAATGGTACTGCTATGCATGTTGAAGGAGTGTGGGCCGACTCCGTTGATGAGAAGTAGTTCCCATCCACATGCCACCTGATCTTATTCCTTCGGGTTTACTCTGAATATGCGGCGTGTGGACGGAGCTGTGAGTGGTGCAGCGCAAGCCATCCATGGTTTTCTGTAGGCCGAGGCATCCTGTGGCTGTCCTATGAGGGCCGCAGTGACGGACAAATCCGGAACCGGATGCAGCAAATCATGTTAAAATATGGTTAAGTGCAAACATAGATTAATCTAGCCTGGTACTCACTGGTTCCATTTTCACGAGGACCAGCTTGAAAGCTGATGCTGCGATGTGATTTTCACAGAGCAGTCCCTGGCTACTTAAAGACATGGAAGTTGGTCAACATCCTCTCATCCAAAGATGTTGAAATGTACTAACAAGCAGGGAATCATCAATGCGTTTCAGCGACGATAGAAACGTGTCATCGAGTACAGGACCTTTCCTCCATTTTAATATTTGACAGTTCAGATCGGATTTATCAGAGGGTAGTGGGCGATACAATCATGGATTCAGCCAGGTTCGGTGACAAAGGAGACGATGGCGACGTTACAGTCCTGCATAAGTACTTATAGATACGATCCACATAAAGTTAGCACGCACATTTCTGAAATGCGTTAAGGTCAGCTAATGATGATGACTGTTACTTTTCCACTGGCTGAAAGGCTCCATGGTCCAAGATCCTGAAATATACTTGGAACCAATCGAGAATACATGATTTCATAAGGGTTTAAAAACAACCGGTTGGTCTACTATACCGAGGATAATACGTCGAAATCAATCATGTGTGTGTGTGTGAAGACCGTGGTAACGAGTACGCTACTAGATCAATTACACGCGGGAATGCATGCGTGTCAGCGGGCACCAGGGGCAATAGGAGTGTGAGCACCTGCTATGCATAATCAAGACTCGAAACTATAATCAAAACACCAGCATGGCTCCCTTAACGTAGAGGATCGTGATGTGTTAACACTTCGAACATTCTCTTCACTCCGGGATACAATACGCACAGGGGAAAAATGTTCTTCCTGTGCAGAACCAAGATGTGTGAGTAATGAGGAATCAAATAATCAGGACCGATTACCTTACTTGTTTCTGAGCACAAAAAGCTGTACGTTTCTCCGCGATTAACATGGCTTCGTTAGCTGACAAGCATTTGGACTCTGATTCCAGAAGAATATTTCGGATACGTTCAATGGGCCCACGTGATGATAAGTCGTCATGAGATGGAGGATGTTGGGTTCAGATTCACCAATTGATCCACACCGCCTTGTTGCGTCAATGACTACTTCAACAAGCCACTAATGAAGTGTTCAACTATCCAACTAGGTTCAGTAGTAGCGAATGCATGCCGAGAAAAGCGACTAACGGAGAGTAGTTCAATAGTAGCAGACATTCCAGTGCGGTACTAGGGCATATCTCTCGAAACACCAACTGGTTATTTTTAGTATCGTTCACTCGAGGTAATATCTCCCAAGCTCCGGTATAAAAGACCAACAATGCTTTAATACTTTCACCATCGACTGACAGACTGATGTATTAACCTGTGAACAGATTACTCAGACTTTAAAGGCGACATAGATATAGTGTGTTAACGTCAGTAATGTGATCACTAGTCGACTCAGCTACCAAAGTAAGAAAACCGCGCGACCACCTCTAGTGGCTGTTCGTTGATAGCTAGAAACAATGACGTGTCGACGTAGACCGGCAGCCGTACGATGCAATTGTACCGGATAGACTGAAGCGTAAGCCGACCTATTCCGCAGCGTTTGCATAACCACTGAGTCCGACACAAAGAGAGCCATGTCCTCTGTAGACTGTACGTACGACAGTGGATCACCTAACAGAACATCGACCCCTAGGAGATGTGGAATAAGCTAAGAGAGAGCTATTAATGATCATTTCCATTAGAAAGTTGAAGTAAAGCACTGGAGCAGTCGTGACACTGCGTTTGCCATACTGAATTTAGGTGTGATTTTCCCATAGAACCTTAGCGATATGCATGCCAGCATCGCACCCACCGACATTTGGCCCGTGCTACTACGTAAGCAGGTAAGCTCATTTGATCATATGTACTGGTGAATGAAGTTGGTCCGGCAATCCAGACATGTGGGTGTCGAGAATGATTCTGACGATGCTTGCGATGCGCTTCTTCACTCCGGTTGGCACGCCTCTGACGCTTCCTATCGAGTGATAGGTCGGATATGGCTGCGACTGACGCGCGTAGATAAGATGTTTGCCTCTATCATTGGCTCCAGGAAATCGTCAGTTGCTACCGGTGAAAGATGAATTCAAAAACTTCGTGACTGCGGTCACCTCATGAAATAGGACAGCCATTACCTTGGGGAATAATAGTATCAGCAGTACTTCGGTAAATAGGTACAACGACGCTTCACTGTCAAGCAACCACCACATGTTGCGTGCTAGGGACGCAGGGATGTCACCTGTATTAACATGTAAGTTGGAACTGGCGATTTGTGGATTACAAGCTAGACGCCCGAACCACACTCTGTCTCCGGTTGGGCATGTGTGTTGAATGTGCGGAGAGCATTCTTCTCCCAAATTTCATATCAGTGTGTTAAATGGGTTCATTCGCCTAAGTTAAGTCATGGGTCCCGTTCATATATCTCCCGGATTCATTCTTTCACGTCTACGTTGGACATGGAGTGAGTGTGAGGAGCTAAGGGTGATGTGATTCACGCCATCCACAGCCACTCTTCAGGCACGAACGAAATTAAGGTATCCGCAGTATACCTGTATCCTACCATCGAACTGCAGATTAGATGAGATATTACAGGGACACGCAAGGTCATGAAAGAGGGGGAAGTCAAGCCCGGCAACATGTACCAAGTGATATCAGGCCAAATTTATAGAAGTGTATTGCAAATCAATATTGCAACCAGTTGCATGGAGCCCGAGATGGACGGTTAGCGAGGAACGTAGGGCGTAAGGAAAGTCAATGTAAGCTGAGTAAGGCTGGTTCTTGGTCCACTTCATGGACAGAAACATTGGCCATTCCGAAATATGTGAATTATTATTATTATCATCGGCGCCACTGCTTTGGTGACTTGAAGTTAGGTAACTGGATTTGTCGTCCTTCGGTGCTCGGATAAGAGTGGACCGAATGAATGGGGAACCGAATGCGTGAAACACGTAAGGCAGACAACGAAACGCATGATGCTTCGACCGAGTAGCCAGTGGCGCTCTCTCATCTATCCACGCAGTCTCAACTGGCATTTCATCTGCCACCGTGTTGCACACCATTTGTTTCTAGTTCGGTTGATGACTATAGGTTTCGCTATCTGTCACCGATTTCAATACATACAGACGAAGAAGGACATCGCTTCGATTGGAACAACGCAGAGGTCCTAGCACAAGGAGAGACACGAAAAGGAAGAGAGTTCCTCGAGGCATGGTACTCGACGAAGCACTCGATAAACATGCACGTCGAGATTGACCCAGTTTACGAAACGCTAAGACGGAGAGAATTAAAACAACTTAAAAACCGTCGTGAGCAGTTAAACGAGCCGTCAACAATACAGCCGCAACAGCCGGGGCAAAACCATCTCACGGATCGCCCGTTTCTCTCAGAAAAGTTGGGTAGGCGGATGGTCACGGGGCACAGATCGAGGAGGTCAATTCAAAAGTCACTTGCTGATCAATCACAAATCGACGACCAAGTCAGCGGACACGTTTGACCCAGCAGCGCACTGAGGAAGTCACCTCGTGTGGTGATGAAACGTTTGCATACCAATTGCGAAGCTCGGCGAACAGCTGAACCCAGAATCTGTCAAATGTGAGCGACGTAGTTGTGTGCGCGTGCGACAGGGCGTCTGCCACACCCCTCATCATACCGCACACATGATCGTTTCACATATTCGTATGACCTTGCGCTTGCTAGATACACGATCCAATAACCGCTATACGAAGACTTAGTGAGAAGAAGGTTCAAGGAGCATCTGGGAGGCATGCAAAGTCACCTTGAAGTGGTGCTTACAAAAAGCAAGGACTACACACAGCAACGATTAGCAGAAAATAAACTGGAGATCAGTCAGACACCAATGGCCTGGCTGAGATCAGAAAACAGCTTCCGTTTGGCAAATCTCACCAAGGTGACGTCTGCTTTTAGTAATGGACGCAACATCCCACGTAAGTACCACGCGCCATTGTGTGTGATCTGATAACAAGATAACCAGACAAAGTGGACGAAGTTAATGGGACGAAGCAAAAAGGCTCACTTAAGAAGATGCCGATAGATAGTTTTCCGATCCACTATGTGACCAGAGGTGGGTAATCGGACCGGATCTTCCATAATGCAACCCATGATTGGATCCACGAATTCATCTGGAGCACCATCCAAGTCCAAGTCATCGTCCTCTTTAGCGACGTTTTCATCCTACAGAAGGGAATATCGCACTGTCATGAAGAAGGGACTGACAAATTAGGAGTGAGATGTCATTTCCGAACAAATGTCCTAGGAAGACAAACTGTTAGGAGCCAATAGTAGATTCGGCAATAGTTCATTTAACCACATAAATTTAGATGTGTAAAAAAGCAAACCAGTCGGAGACGACCGGCGTGTGGATGGAAGAAGAATGGAGGCCAACCGACGAAATAATCAAGAGGAATTACGGCCCTTAGTTTGAAATTAGCCTCGGTTGGGCCCTCTCGGCTCCCTGGTTGGGAACCGAAGGACGATGAACACGTTCGATTGGATACACTTTTTGACATGGCTAGAAGCCGACCTCAATGGCGTTAGTGTTGAGTTTCTTCGTCCCTCCCTCCGTGTGCTTATCATCCTCCTCCAACTACGATCTCATTTCAAACTCATGAGATAACGTCATGTTTAAAGCACAATAGCCAGCTGTTAGGTTTCCGGAACGGATCAGCTAGCGTGGCTGCGCTGAGCCCTTTCCCATGTAGGAAGGTACAATAGCTGAGGTGTTGCTCACTTCCAGCTAGCGTGCATAATGATGATTGATGGTGAAGAAGGGGCCAATGGATATAGAAGCAACGTCGCGGAGAACAAGCACGCTGGGATATGTATGAGATTACGCTGATACACAACACAAAATGCTGCGAAAAAATCGTTTGTTTTTGGATGAGGTATCATTATAGACACGCACTGCAAAACATCAAGTGATTCGAAGTAAAGCACTAATAAACGAATGTATCGGAAAAGACGGTTGGAAGGCCAGGCAAACAGAGGAAACCGATCAACCACTGGATGCACATGTGGAACGTGCATGGCATGAACATATAACTAATCATCTAGCCATCGTTAAACGAAGAGTGGTAGCCAGCTGAAAACAACCCATCACTTCAAAGCGTGATGTGTGTTATTAAGCGAAAAGGAAATGGGATATGCTGAAAACAGCTGTTCCTGTTCGTCCAAAACGTGGTCACTTGCAGACGCGGGGTCGGTTACCGTGGTCTGGATTAGGCAGTTATGGTCTAGACCTCGAAGGAGAGAGCGCCTATCCACCACAATGCACAACATTCTCAAGCTTAGAACTAATAACGCAAGGTGATTATGCAATGGGATATTCAGGCTCGCAAATTCTCACTGGGCTGGCGCTTCGCCAAATAGAAGGTCTCGAGCCAAGAACAACCAGTAATGAGTGCAAAACCCGTCTGCTGCAGACTTCACTCTCTGTAATTTTATGAAATAGAAATAGAAATAGAACAATGGAACGTGTCTACTCTGAAAAGGGCAGAAACAATGGTTGTGAGTTACATATTGCATGGCCGTTGTCAACACAAACAGGTCAAACGAATACAGCAAGAATGCGGGTGTGAGTTGTGAGTGAGAGGCCCGAGAAGATGGTCGACATGAAATTAGGGCTGCGCGATGGTTCGCTTGGAAGCAGTGTTATGCAATGATACTATCGCCGAGATAAAATGACTACAACCAACAACAGTAGTTCGCATCGACCGAATCGATGAAATCACGATAAGTGGTCACTGCTTACGTATGTTTTCGGTTTGTGGATACAAAGCACAACTAGACGCGATGTATTGCAGTGGCGAGAGAACGAGGACAATATTGGTTGTTCTGTAGTGTAAAGTGTACCCAAAGTTTAAGAGCACTAATCAAAAGACCGCGCTTTAAGGTGGTTGTACGAGCGCTTTTGGTCCCGCGACTATTATATCGGACTGCGTCAGAACTTTCCCGGATTGCGTTAGTCGTCTTCAATCAACAGAAAAAATACTTTGGACTAACAGAGAATTCACTCCATGAGAAGAATCGATGTTAAAAGTGAACAAAAACGGCAACCTGTCGGGGACCGTGCACCCTGGTAGTAGCATTAACTAACGAAAATTACTCGGAGTGAGAAAGAGGTAATTAGAAGCACGGACTTTACGAATGCGACTAGAAAGTTTCGAAGTCACGGGATCTATGGCGACAGGAGTGGGAGTGGTCGCCCACGAAAGGTCAGCGAAATAGACACATGCTGTTTGATTACAAAGCGCACAACTGTTATTAAAATGATTGTATTATGTGCTCTTTTAGACTTGGATGTCGGCCGATATCAAGTGAGACTGCCCGCAAACCACGGTTGATCTCAGTCATGAAAGATAAGCGCCAGGATTTAGCGAAAAAAACAAGCACCAATATCCAGATTGATCAACTTTTCGGCAGTTTGCTGTGAAGAAGTACAACATGCGCAGGCCATGTCGCGTAAAAACTATGCAATTTTAACGACGAAATATTATCTGGGACATAAGATTTGGGGCGCTATTTCAGTCAATGGAACTGTTGGCATTTAGTTTATTACCTACCGAACTACCATGAACATTTAAAAGTAAGTTGAAGTGCTATGAAATAAATTAGAAATGCATATGCCCATGCGCAAATCCAAAATATTCATGCACGTTTACGCGCTATGTCACAAAGGAACAATGTGGCGGCGTTTTGAACGGACAGTCACGGACACAAACCGGCTGAGAACTAATGACAAGTCATGAATGATAAAGTTGAATAGAAGTAACCAAAAAGTGACAAAGGCATAATCAGTATCTATCATGCATTGTACTGCGGCACAATAGCTGAGGAGGTTTTCACTCCTAGCTACTGTGTGGAATGATGATGATAACAATGGTGGCTCAATAGCGAAAGTCGCGGTGTAGGGAGCAAACCCTGTCCACTGCACATTGGAAACGCGTATGACAGCAGAGAATGAGTGTGCGGGTTGTAACACATTTAGTTACAGGGTTACGGTGATTGCCGCTCATCTCCAGTAGCCCAATCATCTTAACTACGAACGCGTGGGAATAGGGCATTAGGTTCTAGTCCCACAGGGCCCAATGGAATGCGCGCCGCTGTTGATTTCCGAAGGGACAAAACGGCCGTAAAGTGCTTTCTCGGGCGTGTGATGGCTGTCTAGGTGTCTAGATCTGAAGAACTCCTACGTGCGTTATTCAAATTACACTACTCCTTTGTAATCAGTAAGTAGACCGAATTTTTTTGCAGTGCCATAAGTTAATTGGTGGTTTGTATCCGTTAAATTTGTCACTAAGAGAGGGGGCTACTCTGTCCTCTAGACGGTAGTAACGCGCAAGTCAGTGGATAGTGAGCAGCGCTATATCATATCTGGTAACCTAGTCTAGACGGTCGTTACCGTCCCTCGTAGCTTAATGGTCTCAACCACAGACAGACAACAGTCGCGTTGCGGGTTCGAGCCCCACGGAGGTCATGTGGGATGCGCACTGCTGACGAGTTCCGAAAAGAAGGAAACGACCGTACAGTGTTTTTCCAGATGTACAGTGGTTGTTTGACTGGACGTGACTGTGGGGAGTTTATTTAGAAATTTTAACTAGGATAATTAAGAGCGTGGGTGAAAATAATCACATTGAAGTATTCTCGAGTAGACCAATGTGTTAGCAAGAGCTTCTTCAGGCCAGGAAGCTCTTGCGTTATGAGCGAAACGTTGCTACAATAAAACCTACAAGAACTGATTAATATTCGGAACCTGAAATCCCAGTTGGTTCCGAGCCCATCTCAGAGAACAACAACACATATCCGGACTGGTGTACATGATATAGCGAAGTTGTACTTGTTAAGGGAGCCAGCACCCCTTGGCTAACAGCCCGGAACAGTTGCTTCTGAGGCAACCCGAAGCTTATTGGTCAACCAATGAGAGCGGGCTAACGAGAACGTTTCACTGATCGCTACCAATGTGGATGGTCTACTTTGAAGCCTGCCAGTGAGCGCTAGGTCGTTTCCTCATTAACTAGTGATTTCACCCCAGATTTGATTGTTTATATAGCTTCCTGTGTTAAATACAATTTACACCTGAGCGTCTTGTCTTCCAAGCTGGAAAAGCGGCCAGTCAGTTTGCGCACTAGCAGCAAGTTATCCGTACAACAAATGGAAACCACAACAGTACTTACAAAAAATGAATGATCTCCGAAAAATCTACATGTTAACTCTGTTCCCTTTGAAATATCTTAGGAAACTTGATAGAGCAGTCTCAAATTTTTGGTAGAAATTGTAACTACTTAGAAAATCCCCATCTAGACAACAGGGGTTGAATGTTAAGACTAAAGGTGAGCGGGCAATTCTGAGCAGAGATCGACACCGCATAAAAAACGATTCTTGCTGCGTAAGGATCGGAGAGGAGATAAGTACATAAATGAAGCGGTGAATTGAATAGAGGAGAAAACATGTCTGGTTCACTTCATGGATAGTTCAGTTGTAACAGATATCGTCGTCATTTTCCTATAGCAAAAGGTCATAATTTGGACAATTTGTGGCAAAAAGCACGTGAGATAAGTAGAGAAAAGCACAGGGAAATCAGCGTATGTCAAAATACAAGATGTGTTCATAGATGTCTGTTGATTAAGTGTTGAAACGAAGAGGTACAGCTTCATCCAACACCGAGGTAGCGTCACTGTGGGTAAGCAGTAGATAAGTTCGACGAATAACTCGGCGTTGGCAAGAACGCACCCGTGTGCAGCGGAGGCGTTCTTCTTTAGCACAATCACTGAGCCACCTTTAGCCGCAAGCTACCTCTCTAGACGGAACATTGCCCACGTTGATTGCATTAACGTTGCACTGGGGCCATTAGCAGCTCCATTCTGACTCATTGTCGACAGTGGGCATCAGGTGGATCTAAAACGTCCCTTTAGAGTAGTATACAAGGTTCCACCGCACCGATCGAAAGAACAGCGCCTTCGTACACTTGCGACGGCCGAAGCAATTTGCATTCGATTATTTCAATGGTCCTTATGCTCACAAAAGAAGCTAGTCTAGGCTCTACAGCTTGCTTGGCCCGCGAAAACGCAGGATACTGAGGTCAAACTCCGTAACATGTACTTAAATCGTTTTGACTCCACGTCTGTTACTTGTACTAACTGGGTCGATGTTACCCTCTCTTTTTAGCCCTAAATATG